TAAGGTAAAATGGGAGTCATTGTAAGAGTGGAAGCCTGAGTAAAGGAACATATATATCATATAAAGGGATGCATTTTGAATTGATGCCAGGGCTAAAAATCAAATCAGCTTGGACATAATGGAGAAAGGGCTGAACAAGTTTGTCTTTTTAATCCAAGTCAGCAGGTGCCTGATGTTATTCTGGAGTATATACATCTCAGACAGCTAAAATAGATATTTAATAAATCCTCCCAGATTTCACTATTCCAAATAATGAACTCTTGAAAGAGGAGTCTCAGAGACAATGAACTAAACCAGCTTGGAAATGGAATGTGGTAAGTAACATCTGCCTGTTTAGAAGGCAATAAGAACATCCAGTTTAAACATGAAACAACATCCCCAAACACTTCGTCACTCAATCACAAATAATTCTGTGGAACTCACAGATGTAGGGTATTACAGGGGCCAAGAGCTTAGATAACTTTAAAAAAAAAAACCCCCAAAACCTAGATACTACTAGCAGTAGTATCTGAGCTAGACTGGATACAGTTATTGTTATCAATCCTCAAGTTTACTGCATGAGTGCTCATGAAACAGCAGTGCTATTTCCTAAAGTTATTTCACTCAAAAATATAAATGCATTAGTGGTGCAAAATACAAGTTAAAAAGGGTTATGCCTTCCTCTAAAATGTCTTTTCTTGCAGAAGACTAAATATTCAACCAGTCTTCATTCCGGGAAAGCTATAATGCTTCATCTTCCACCTCTTAAATGGAAATAGCAAGAAACTTCCATATATTTGGCACAGTTTCTTAAAATACTGATTGGTTAACACTTAGATATCATTGCCAAAAACTTTCTCTGCTAGAGGGTTTATTACTCAGATCAAAAGAAGCATGTTTAGAATACCAACAGATAGATATATTTGCTACAATGTACTCTTGGGTACCCACAGATGGAAAAATTGCATGCTGTGGACCATCTCAGAGACACATCCTGTAACTGGTGAAGCATTTAGATATAAAAAGAAACAACAAACATCAAGTAGTAGAAGGGACAAATACAAATGAAATATTGATATGTTGGGATCCAGTTGCAAAGATGAATCAGTGGAGACATATTCTCATGAATATGGGAGTAAAGCATACATGAACACCAAGGATATCCAGTAATCAACCAATTTATCTATAATAAGATACTTTCCTTTGATCTTATAAGTCACTCATTTTCAGACCCTTTGAAAAGACATTCCTGACAAGCAATTAACTATGGAATGAATAAGTCTAAGATCTCTGGGTTTTCTTATTTATTTATTTATGTATTTGGTATTTCCATCCATTTGGGTTGCAAAACAGGCTTTGTCACCATGGACATCTTAGTGACCACTATGTACCAAACTTGCAAGCAAACAAGTTGATTCTATTTTCTAATGCTACCCCTGATAAAAGTTCCAGAAATTCATCCTTGCTTTAAAAAAAAGTTAAAATTTTAAAATAACCATATACCCCATTTAATATACACATATAGAACACTAAAAATACATTACTTCATGGCAGAAAATACAGTAGCTGTATTGGAAATGTCACAATGATTCTACATGACACTACATCTTTTTCTATAATACCACCTTTTAATAGAAGCAACTGAAGAGAAATTAATGTACTATGAAGGTTTTTCATAATAAAATGAAAAATTTTATAAATTTAATTGTAATTAAAAGAAATTGTAAAAAATTTAAAGACCCAAACAGAAGGTCTTAATAGTTCACTAAGTAATCAAATTTCCCATAAGCAACATACATAAAATAACTTGCTTTAACATGTATCTATCAGGTCTTCTCTCTGTTGCATTATACAACAAGTGTGAAATGAATGAATGATTTGATTTTGACATAAAGAGCTCCCACATCCTCTCTTAGTTGTCTTCTTACTTCTAAAGGTGCATAAACCCTACTCTGTCAAGTTAGAAGCTCTTACTGTCACTAGACAGAAAGAAAACGCCTCACAGTGCATGAGGACTGTCATATGCCAATAGATTTGGCTGTCAGGCACTGAAAACTACTGTCACTCAGTGTCAAAAGGACTAACAACAAAGCAATTATCAAACACACATTCATAAAGCCCAAGGTATGTAGATAAAAATGAGACTCTGTGACAGATCCAGCTAGTTAGAAATACCTTTGATGTCTAAAGAGGTACAATTTCTTCAAAGATTCCACAAAGTTGTATTTTTTTCTTGCTTCAAAATAAGACCAAAAAAATGTATATTATTTAGGACTTGGCCAGTGTTTCAGATAGTAGTGGGAACGAGACGCTGTCCTTCTAAACTACGCGCAGTGAAAGTTATTTTCCTATAACCATTCAGCTTTATTCCTGGGGACAAAAATCACTTTGAGGATTGATTAGAATCCTTCTTCTGGCCCACAGAAGTTAAACTTGGGAAATTTTTAATGGAAAGGTTAATAATAACAGAATGAAATTCAGTAGTAAGGTAAGACAAAGGAGCTCATGTCACTTTTCCAGAGCAAACCTTATGATGTGAAATAGAAATAGCTTGATGATAGTTTGACTCTTAATACATTTAAGGTGTTAAGTTTTTTTAAAAAGCCATGAGAAATCACTTTTTAAAAAAACAATTGCAGCTGAACTGATGGGCTGAATGGTTCAAAGTATCTTGCTGATGAGGTGTACAGTTCAGGAAGACATTTCTGTTCACCAAAGCATTTAATTATATGCCAAGTCCTTTATTAATATTTAAGCACATGAATAAAGTTAAAAAAACATAATTAAAGATTTTGCCTTTTTTGGGAACCTGTTGAGTAGCCACAAATCAATGAGAATCAAGAAGTCTTATCACTACATGAGATCCTGGGCCAGCGTGGATTGGAATGGATTGGATACCTAAGGTGGATATTTACATTTGGATTCTGATCTAAATATGGACAAGTATCCAACTAAATTTACCTACATGGTTTTTCAGTTCAACAGTGAGAGAAACCAGTATTATTTCTAGATCTCATGGACTATGGATTTCAGAGTAGCTTGTGCACTAGCTTATCTACATCAGACATCAGTTTACATATATCGACTTTTCAAGGTGGAATAAAACACCAACTCAGTTTGAAGACAGTCTTTCAGTGGATGATTTTCCCACCTGCTGTTTATAGATTAAATGTGAACATGAAGAGGAGAAGGTAATTTAATCTTCTGACCTTGTTCTCTCTGTCACCATCTTAATGTAAATCCAAGATGGAGATGCCATGAAGGAGGTTAGAAGACAATGACACTGTTGCACAGAATTTTTACTTTGGCACAGTGCAAATCCCTCAAACCAGTGGATCAGAACTGCAAAAAGATGTCCACTTCACTCTACTGCCTTCACAGTCTGACAGGGAACAATGTTAGTATTACACTTAGAATATGGAGTTTCTAAATTATGCTTCCTTCTGAGTTTCCTGTGTCACCATATTTCCTTTCAGAAGTAAGACCTAATCATCCCTTGAGAAAACAAACTGGTTCTTCAGTACCAACTGTTTGTTTCAGATCTTGCGCTTCACTTCCAAGTCCTAATTCCTTTTATAACAAAGCATTCTACCAGTGAGGCCAGGTTCCACAACTATTTCTAGGAACAGTGGACAAGACTGGGCCTCAAGTCTCCCAAATCGTCTTTCAGCTCTCCTTTTGATCCTTTGATAAACTTGAGGCAAGCCATTTAGGTCCACATTTTCTAAATGAATGCTTGTTTTTATGTGTGCCCCAATACTTGAAAGCCCCCTATTTTCCTGAACTGGTTCATCTTGCATCTAGTTACATACTTCAGATCTGAGCGCAGGGATCCTGGATTGCATTTCCAGTGCATTTGACTGTTATGAAAACATTGGAAATACCCAGAAACCTTTTGAAACACTTGGAATGGTCATCAGGAAATTGGCATTATATAGAAATGCAAAATGTTTGGATTTTAATTTCACTATTTTAATTACTGACAGGTGTTCATTCAGGAGGGAAAAAAGAAAGTGTTCTCTTACATTTCAGCAGTCTCATCATATTATGATATGCGACATGTTTTCCCATCACAGCATTAAAGGTTAGCATATATGTGGGGAAAAAAAAACTAACAGAGATTGCTTGTCTATACAACATTTGGTCAAGTTAATCATACCAATCCCTTATTTTTGAGCACTAAAATGCGTTGCTAAGTGGGGGTGGGAAATTGGACCAAAAATGTATTGGTTCAGCTTGGATTTTGATAGACCAGATGTTGAGGAAACCATGTGTACAGTAACTATCTGGCTTGTGTATATTCAGTTTAATTTCTTTATTGTCATAATCTAATTGTATGTGGTATTAGTTCTAATAGTGATTGAAATTATGATCCATCTTCAACTCGTCAAAGGCAGCTTATGTTTATAGGTCAAGTTTTTCTTTTTAAAGAACAATCTATGATACATTTTCCTAAAAATATCTAAATACATTAATATCATTTTTAGTTTAAATAAAGAATTATTGAACTTTTATTTTATCTTTATTTCACTTTTATTTTTCTCACATAAAGTAAACCTTGAGATCTTTCATAAACTCTTGAGGATTTGTCATTACTTCATCTGATTAAGAGTTCAAAATCACAGCTCTTTCCTGGCTTGTAAAACAACTTCTGCTTTTTTTTCATTCCATTTATAGCCAGCTGATACGATGCTGAATTGAGATAATCCAACTGTATTTTAAAGAGAATTAAAATATCAAATTCATAGTTATTCATATGGGAACAAATCCTGCTGGTGTCTCTCATATGACTAATAAAGAACAGTAAATTGACACATTTACTGGCTGGAGAAATGTAAGAGCGGGATAAAGAACAGAAAAAACACCCCACAATGGACAAGATTAGATAGGTATTCCTTGATTTGTTGCATCTCTTCATATTCATCCCTTTTCTTCTTACAACTCTGCTCTTCCACACCATAATATTTCATGTTAACTTACATTCACCAAGATACAAATGAATAGAAGGCACTACCTCTTATGTGGTTGGTCTCTGAAGTTGGTGCAGACAATCAAAAATGGTTAAATACTAGAGAAAAGCAAAAAGGGAAATTCAGCTTAGGAGAAATCATAATTCCCAGATGGAGAAGGCATTTTAGCTGAATTCACAAGCACAAACAAAGTCCAGAAGTACTTGTTTACAATGCTTTTGCAGAGATTTATTGAAATCCTTGCCAGCTTGGGTATGGCCTGGCTTGGATAGTCTCCCAGCAGGCTGGACTTAGAAGTTATGTCACCATCCAAGTTGCTGACAAATGTTTCTGTAAATGCTTATAGACTTCACCGCTATTTCTTGTTTTGCTGTGGTGTGCAACAAGAAAGAATCCAAAGAGACTGGTTGTAGGTAGGAGGGAGCTTAGCAGCTTAAGCACGATAGTGCAATTACTACAAAAAAGGAAATTCTAAAGAACTTATTTCTGTTCTAGCCATTAATCCTTCACCAGATGTTTGACGATATGAAATTTACCAAAAGATCTATACAATTATTTATATTCAATGTGGCTTTTTCCTAGGGAACACATTGTATGCATAGCATGAGGTAAATGGAGAACATAAATCCAGTATTATTAATGCTGGGGTCTGGATTGCTTTTATGCTCTTGGGCTTTTTGGGGGGGGGAGGGGGAGGAAGCCAAACATTTAATTTGCTCTTTCAGGGTCACAGTAGCTTTTATGGAAAAAAAATAAAGTAGGAAAGGCGTGCACACTTTTGAATAAAGACAATGGCTTTGCTTTAGGTTAAATCATTCCACCTGCTGTGAAGCAATTAGAATCAATTTTGCTATTGAGCACAGCTAGCTGCTTAATAAAAGGGTCATGGGGAGACTCACAAAAGATGCTCACTTTGCCAAACAGTTGAAGCCCTCAGACAAGTTGTACGCAAGAAAATATAAAATTGGTTAGTGGACTTTCAAACCTTCTATACTGTAAATGAATGAGGGATTTTTTTACCTCCTTGATACGCAGCTGAAGACTAAGCTATTACATGGCTCATTAGTGTGGTCAGTATATAGAAAACAACAGAGAAAGAATAAAATCTCTTTAGTTATATAATTTCTTTAAGATCTTTATGTCATAACATAGTGGCTGTAATGAACTATGCATAAGTGACTCTTAGGCAAGATGCTAAAGATTTATCCTATTCATGAATGGAAGTAGAAATTTTCCCTTCTGGCTTCATCATCATGGTAGTTCATTTCACCTTACACTTTTTTCTAGATACCTAGTTATATAAAGGGCTTGATTTGTAACTCTATCCATTTCTTGACATCGAACTTTCCACTATTTCAGACCTCACACTTGGAGCCAGGTAAAGGAATGACTTCAGGACTCTTCAAATAGCATGGGGAGTCCACCAATATGCAGTATTTGAATTGGGAGAGTAGCATCTCAAGTGAATGCCCCAATGGCTGAACCATTGCTTATTCTGGTAAAACTCTTTTCTCCCACCACATAAAATTAAACACATGTAGCTATGTATATATACACGTGACCATCGACACCAACAACCTTCAACGTTCTTCACACAACTGAATTATTGTCTTCCAGACAGTATTGCATCTATGCACTGAGATAGCTTAGTTGTCAGTCAGTCTAAAAAAATGGGGGGGGAAGCGGGGGAAGAGGGAGGCTCTGTATTTGATATCATACTGAATTAACTAATAGTAATGGTTGATTTTTTTAAAGGCCATTACATGAAATGGATGAGAAGAGAAGATATTTCAGTCATTAAGAAAAGGGGAGATGAGGAGATGATGATAGGAAAATGTTGCTGAGGTATGAGATGGGAGAAGATGATCTCAGACAAATTGAGACACTGCAAGGATGAGAGGGGCAATTATTTTTTAATATTGTAATGTACTGAGTATGTAGGCAGGCACTCTTCAGTACATTCATAAGGCATATAAGTAGCTACTTTTTTTTAGGATTATCATTTCTGTATGAAGATATATACCACCCTTTCCTGCCTTAACTGGACCTTGGATATTTTACAAATTGCAAAGTGTGCAATTCCTAATTATTCAGTTTATTAACTTGATTATTTATTTGAGGGGAAACTGCTCAGGACCTCATGTTTAAATATTCTTCATTTTCATTATCTATATCAAAGAATCTTTTCATGGGCATAATTTGCGTGCCCGCCTATATTTCATTTAAATGTGCTTCATATGGTTGATATGTTCTTCTTACATTTGTAAAACTGCTTCTTCTCCAATAAACTAATTTGTGACACACGTTATCCACATGAAATGGAATTGGAATGTCTTGCTTTTGAAAGTAAAAAGACTTTATCTTTTTTCTAAAGATGAATAATACAGGATGTTACATGTACTAGGGCAAATAATTATTGCATTTATACATAAGTAGATCTGACATCCCGTATTGGGTAGGGAAATCAGGAATTACTTCAGGAAGTCACTTTTTTCACTTACTTCAGTATAAGTGGAAAAAGGCACATTCATCTAAAAATGCCTAACTTTCCCCTCAAAGATAGGAAATATTGCAAGCTGTATATAAAAGAAGTTAGGAGGAAAAAGCAGGGGTTGGAAAAATACAGCCCACATTCTGTATTCAGCCCACCAGGCCATTTTATCTGGCCCACGGGGCCCCTAAAATTTAGAAAATTTATATTTATCTGTTTCTGGCTGTCTGTCAATGATGACAGAAGCCAGGGGCAGTAGGACCCGGGAGAAGCCAGCAGAACTCAGCAGGACCCACCCAGCCCACAGCCTCCAGCCCATAGCTCCCAGGCTCTTCCTACCCTCCCCCACCTCAACTAGAAGCCTCTGCCTGCCACAGCTTTCACTGCTTCCTTGCACACCAGCCCACTGCTCCAGCACCATGTGGCTCCTGGCTGCATCACCAGACTGAGGGAGCACAGAGCCTCAGCTGGTACCCCAGGGCCAGGAGCAGGATGGTGTGTGGGCACATGTGTGTATGTGCATGTCCCTGCTTTGAGGAAGAGGGCAAGAGAGAGAGAGCAATGAGGGAAGGAGAGACAGTGAGTGTGTGCATGTGCATGTGCACATGCATCCAGGGAGGGAGGGAGAGACAGTGTGTGTATGTGTGTGTGTGTGTTCATAGGGGGAGTCCCACACACACCCCCCACCATACACATGCACACCCCCTCACACTGCCATACACACAGGCCCCCACATCCCCTCACACACTCCAGCCCTACCCCCCACACAGCTCCCCACAAACCCCATACCCACCCATACCCCACATATCCACACACACACACCCACATGCTCCTTCACCCCATGCTTACACCCCCACATTCCACATACCCACATACCAACAGATCCCCACAAACTTATACCCACCCCCCCATGCCTGCCCCCACAATATATAAAAGTAAGACTTCATTTTAAGCTATTGTGCAATTACCTATCTGTCCACTACACAAACGCATGTAAATCAGGACAAATATTTTTGAAATCATATTAATGAATGTTGTAGATGTTTGAATTTTAGAATATCTTTGGTATTTTTCTGGTTCTGAGATGGCAAAACCCCTTGCTAAAAGGAGTACTTCTGGAGACAAGGGAAGGGACTTCTGGTGGCAAAGGTCAGGGGTTAAAGGGTGGGACTTCTGGCCACAAGATAATGACCAGGGGTGGGGCACCTGTCAAGGAGTGGGGCTACCAATGCAGCTTGCCAAAACTCAGTAAGTGGCCCTCCACCAGAAATAATTTCCTGCCCCTGCCATAAGGTATACTGTTCGTGGAGAAAGAATTATATTAGAATCTTCCATGGATTGTTTCTGAGGGTACTTCAGCTTCATTCAAAATATTAATATTTTTAATATGTTAGGGCATAATCCTGCCTACTTTCACTACTGTAGAGAGCCTCCTACTAAAGGTACAGAACACAACAGTAAATATTTTCACAGTGGTGCATTCAGAGTACATTAATTGATTAAATATTAACAGTTTTAAGTATTTCTACAGCTAAAAAGCAACTTCTTTCTTAATGGTTATAGAATGTTTAGGTAAGTAATTTATCACTTCTGTTCAGGACTGAAACCAGAAATATCATGAGAAAGGCCATTAGCAAGAAATGTGTAGCCCAGTTCTGCATAAAAGAATCAGTGGAGATTTGCATCCAAAGTTTGCATAGCCTGATCAAAAGTTTGGAGCTACAGTTTTGATTTAATTTTGTTCTAAAGAAACACACCCCACAACAAAAACTGAACTCAGATGAGTCATATAAACATCTACGGTGTATCAATGCATAAAAAACCAAAAAGACATCTGCACACAACCAATGGCAAGTCATAGCTAATAATGTAGATTCTTAAAATGCAGTAGAAATATAGTGAATTACCTAGGCCAATACTAGCTCTGATTGCTGAAGTCACACTTCATTCAGTTCAGGCATGCAGAAGTTTAAAAAATAAGTAGTGGTCCTTAGAATACATGGAACAGGTACAGACATTACACTTGTACTGGTATAAGTGATCCAAAATCATCTATACGCATAAGGGAACATAAGTTTGGCACACATAGACTGGTTTTAAAATGGTGGAACCTGGGCTAATATTTGCCTCCTCCCACCACCACCCTGCCAAAGGGTGAATGTATGTTCTGTGTGCTACTCATCTAAACTTACAGAAAACTATGTAACTTAGATTGCTTCCACCTTAGGCTTTTTGAACGTCTGTACCTAGCCAGGGAGTCAGTAGTTAGGTCACTCACCTGAGAGCTAGGAGACCTGTGGTCAAATCAAGGATCCAGTTCCTCCTCCAGCAAACAGTGAGAGAGGTTCAAAGCACCACTGTTCCCAGATGTTGTGCAGCACTCTGGACAGAGCACTCTCATGGGATGTGGGAGATACTGGTTCAAATCTATTCAGGCAGAAAAACAAATAAGCCTACTTGTCTCTAATCTTGCACAATTGCAATGGTTATTGGCTAAGGAGGAAAACATTACCACTACCTCCCGTTCCTCCCTTGTGAAGCTAGCTCTTTACTTCCCTTTAATTTATTTGGGGAAAATAGGCATTTTCATGTCAAAAGAACAGTTTTGACCATTTCAAAATAAAAATCTCTTTTTTATGAGAAAGACTGAAAGATTTTTATTTCAGATGAATTAGAAAACTATTTCCCTTCTGATTTTTCAGTTTAGCTCTTGACCTCTTTCAAAAAAGTAGCAATCAGTTACAAGTATGAGCATACAAATTAATTCCCACGGCACCAAACAGGTGTGTATGAGGTTGACTTTACCTTGCACACAAACCGCAGCTGACACATGCTATTCTTTGCTTTGCAGTTGGAAGGTAACTGTGATAGCTCAGCCTCAATGAAAGACAACTAAGCTTCTGTAATTTAACTTCAATTTCTTGCAGGATATGAGGATGTACCTTTGTCAATTACCATGGAGAAGTTGCCACACTTTAAAGTTTCACGTGGCCCTACATGAAATTCATCTTCCTGTGTCCATATTCACATAACCCTAGTGCTTGGGGATCAGAATAATAAACACAGAACCATATCACTAAGCGTTTTTCTAAATGGAACCTTTTTAAGTGAATTAAAAAACTGTACTAATGCTTGAATTTATAAAGGTGCTGGGTACCCTCAACTTCCTTGGAATCAACACTTAGTGTAATTTGAAGGGAATCCGAGGCACTGCAGAACTATGGTTAGTATGGAGGTATCCAACATAAACTCACCCTAATGAGCTCTTTATTTCAATGTAGCAACATGAATTACAATCTGACATCAGCTACATTCATTTAAGAATTGCAACTCTGAGACAAAGACAGAGATTGATCTTGCAAGGATGTGTTTTAATGCTTAATACTAGTCCATTTATAATACCTTGTATTAGTCTAATGAACACTAGTCTATTATCCACTGATAGTCATTAATCTAAAAAATAGAGTACTGGTGACAGAAGCAGAGTGCATCTTATCATTGCAAAACAACAGAACTATCATACTTATATCAACTTAGAGCAGGATAAAAGGTGGATGTGGTTTCTTTATTCTAGGTTCTAGTTTTCCAGTGTCCCCCAACTCCCACTAAAAACACCATGTATAAACAAACACATGTCTCTGCTTTGTCCAGTAATTTCTCAAGACGACTTTAAAGAACTACATTTTGGGGGACCATCACTGCATTATACTGCAGCATTATTTTCACCAAGATAAATAATTTACCTGTAAATGAATGACCGGATAATAATAAAGGACAACATTGGGATGCATCTTTTATGATACAGAACACTTGCACACAGTAGTCCCAGAGAATATGTTGTCAGAGTTGTTATTCCTCATTTACTAATGCTAATATGCCTCCTGCATTAGATCCCCAGTTTACCATGTGCTTACATCCATCTCTTCAGCAATCAATTAAACAATAAATCTATGCTCACACTGCAGTGCCAGATCCAGCTGTGCTAAATGGTATACACTCATGCACACGTGCAATCTTACAGATGGCACCTGGGCACAACAGTCTGCAAGGTAAGTCTAAGAGGAAACAGCTGGAGACAGACGGGAAAATAGGGAGAAAATATTGGTCAGCACTGACAGTACTGATAGGTTGTGGTTTCAGCCCACCTGCCAAGCAACTTAAGCATTATCAAGTCCCTTTTGGAAGTCACAGAAAAGCAAAACATTAAGAATGGATTCAAACAAGAACAGTAAAGTGGCTTCATGGATATTTATGGAGAGGCTCTTCCAAGTCTGAAGGATGGCATGATAAAAAGTACAAAGGCACTTAATAGAAAACAAATGAGTGATACAGGTTGGCATTGTGGGCTCATCAGAGAAGAGTCCTTTCTCTTGGTCACCAACATACAGAGACAAAACCAAAATCAATACCAACACCCAGCTACCCCACTATTGGATAAAGTATGTATGAATCACACAGGTCAGATAACAGAAAAGGAGTCTACATATTTGCCATTGCTTTTCAAACATTAAATATAGCAATTCCTCAAAGACTTTCACTGTTTATCGCAAGTTCTACTGAAATGTATTTTACTTACAAATGAAAACTTGGCAAAGAGCAAGCATCACTCTTCAAAACATGCTGGCTTGTAAAAAATGTTTTATGGCCCTCAAAAAGACCAAATTGGTACTGACTTCTATTGATTTTCCCTTTCTTCATCCAAAATCAGCTGAAGACTCCCCCACACTTCCTTCAAACTTAGTAACTTTCTTTACAGCCTGGTATCTCTCATTCAGTGATACTTATAATTTTCAAAATCTGAAATCTGTAAAGAAAAAAACTACAAAAGGGAAAACTGCTCAGGCAAAATTTTCTCCCCTTTCCCTTTCCCTAAACTAGAAGCAGAAGTAGACAAAAATACTAAAATCACTGTGATTAAATATGCAATATTTTTTTTCCAAGTATGCATCCTAGAGTGGACTACATAGCTATCTTCATTGAATTGCTTTTAATTTTCAAGCAAGGATTTTAAGCATAATATTTAGCAGTTAAAAAGGTCTAAATTATTTCTCTTGCTCATTTTTGCACTGCCTTCATTTTTATGTTGGGAGTTAGAATGCCTTTAAACTTTGACAGCAGCTCTTCATTTGTGCTCTTCTGTGCCAATTCTAATAATTTAATTTAATCACTTTACCTCTGCTTTCTTTTTATTTCTCTTTAAGAACATTTTTTCTTGCTGACACTACTTATAAGTATGTCTGAAAACTATACAGATTTATTTGCTAATCAATGGGAGTGTCTACACATGCTTTTACATGCACCTAAACTTAACGTGCATTTGCCTAATGCACATTATGGTGATTTAGGCACACATCTACACATGTTCACACTAAGGTGCATTAACGAAGTGTGCAGACCAACTTGGGACTAAAGTTAGTCTCAAGTCAGTTGACATACACAGCTTTAATGTGCCTTAGCGTGTTTACACTTGCATTAAAATATGTGAAAGAATGAGAGAGAGTAAACAGAGCCCCCAGGGTGCTTTATGTACCAGATAGCTGAGACTAAGGGAGGAAGAGCAGCTGGCAGTGACAGACGGAAAATGAAAGTAAACAGAGTTTACAGCTGCAGCTGGAGGCCAGTGAAAGAAGAAAGGAATCACAGCAACACTTCTAGAGCAGCCTCTTGCTCCGGATTGGAGGAGGGAAGCTGCCAGAAACCATTTCCAGTCCTGGAGGGAGGCAAGGAAGATGTCCTTCTAAGGTTAGAGCCATCTTAGTGGGTTTTTGTTTTGCTTGGAAGAGAGATCCTACCGAGGGACTGTGGCTGCATGGACTGACTCTAAAGGGAGACTGAAACAGTTCTGTCTTGGGTGTTTGAGCCTAGTCTAAGGCCATACCCTGGATGTGGGTGTGTGTTGGACTAAGACTGTGGTCACCCAGGTGGCAGGCTACAGAGGACTATTAAGATAGATATTAAGGTCAGAAGGGACCTCAGCAGATCATTGAGTCTGACCCCCTGCCCCAGGCAGGAAAGAGCGCTGGAGTCAGATGGAATGGATTGGGTGGGGTAAAGGGGAGGTCTGGAGCCCCACAGAAGAAGACAGAGATTGAGACCTGAAGGATCATCTCAGGGTATTGTCTCTTATTAACATTGTACCAACAAAGTCATGGCAGAAGAGAAAAGTAAGATCAGTCTCCTGGCAGACCAGGTGATCTGAGATTAAAGTCCATCCTGTCACTGCCCGTAGGGAAATGAACTCTCATCAGTGGCAGTAAGCCCTACAATACCTCCAGTCATCACAATGCGCTTCAGCAATTTGTGTCTAAAATTGATACCTGCTTTTGCGGGTATCAAATTTAGGTATGGATAGACTAAAATTGCCATTATAAGGTTCATTAAGGGTGCTCATGTGTAGACCCACACTGTTAACGAGTCTTAAATTGGCATGTGTAAATGCATCCAATAGGTCTGGAATTGCATGTGTTGGGAGAAAAAGTACTCGATAGGCTTTAAAGCAAGTATGTCATTTTTCCCCCACATTGCCACAATTCATTTTTGGAAACTTTTGTGTATTACCCAGATTCTGTAAGATGAAGTAGTTAAATAGTTCAAAATATTCATTTGATTTGGAAACTAGTATACCTAGTATTATATTTTTCTGTTGTTGACAATGGCAGGTAGACAACACTGAAGCAAGCCACTGGGGAAAAAAATGCTGTATGGATAGTATCATCCCATTGTACTGAATATAACTGAGATGAGCTTTGGACAGGCAGCATTAAAATCTTACCCCTCATTTAAATGTATATTCATATTTCACAATGTGACTTCATTCTAGGAGTCTGATTCAACTGAACAATTAAGCATACACTTAACTATAGACACATGTTTAAAACATATTGAAGTCAAGATAACTTAACCATTCTTTAAATGTTAAGTATATACTTCAGTGATTTGCTCAGCTGGGATGGACTACTATTTAGGGCTTTCTGTAAGTGATAAGCACTTCTTTAAAGGAAAGAAGATGGATGAGTAACCTCTATTAAGTCAGGTTCCTAAGAGTCTCAGATAATCTAGGCACTAGATATATGAAGTATACCTTCTTGAAATAGACAGCATTTGGATTTAAAAAAATGCTAGCACCTATACAACATTCAATGCTTTGATATCCTGTTTAGTTCCATAACTCCAAGAATTCCAAGCCATAAGTAGGAACTTGCGGAAGCAATCTCACTGCCATTGGGTAATGAATGCTATTTCAACCTCAAAAAAGGGCTAAGCACTAGACTGAGAACTGCAGCTGTGATCTTGTGAAATATAGCACAATTTACATTGCAGAATAAGCATCAAGTGATAGGAACAAGAAATCCTTGTGGCTTAGTCTACAGATGAGTAAATCAGATTTCTAGAAGTCTGAAGAAGCCTTTCAAAGTAGGTATTTTTAAATATCTATATTTAAATATCCTAATATTTGTGTGTTAAACTGCAGCATTATAGAACAAAGTTAGCTTCCATTAGGCAAAATTCTAACCTTAAAATATGCATGGGGTTGGAAAGACTTGAAACATCAATAAGGACTAGGTGCAAAAATTCATAAAAGCCTGTAGCTTTCTGAAATTTTGCTAAATTATGCAACTGATTTACAAAATGTTTACAAGTACAATACACTCACATATTTTTTGATGTTGGGGGAGAACTGCAGATCAGAAAGATTAAAAGGTCCCTACACCAAGGGCAAGAAGGAAACTTACTGCTAAAGATAAATGAAATCAAAGATACAAAACCTGTGAAACAGGAGAAGCAGGAGATCCATGGTGTCTAACGACCATGTAGTAACTTCAGAGAAATAAGTTGTTACCTCTAAAAACACCAACATATCAGCAACTATGAATGGCTTCATCAAGAACAGAATGGACGTGAAGATGGCCTGATCCTGTGGAGATCCCCGGTCCTTCCCTTCGTGGTGGCAGCACCCCCCAGGGCTGCCCGGGCAGGCTGCTGGAGGGCTGGGTGTTGGATTCAAGCTGCGGCAGCACCTGGCCCATTAGTAGCACACTCAGGTGGCCCCAGGGGCTTATGCCACTGTGGAGGGAGGTACTGGGCCCCCCCCACAGCTTAGAAGCCACCAGTGGCTCATCCCCCACACTTGCGGTTAGGCTCTGCCAAAAAAAATAAAAAAAGGCTGGGCCTCTTGTCACCTTTTTTTTCCCCAGTGGAGCATGCCTGTGGTTGGGCGGGCAGGGGGTAGTGAGTTGCCAATGAGCTGATCAGCCTCTGAGCTGTGGGGGGTGCCAGTCCTTCCCTTTGTGGTGTCTGCTAGCAGGCCAGGTGCTAGCTCCAAGCTGGGCTAGCACCTGGCCCACTAGCAGCCTGCCTGGGGGGCCCTGGGGGATGTTGCTGCCATGTAGGGAAGGACCAGGACCCTCTGCAGCTCAGGGCCCTCTGACAGCTTGCACCCCAGCCATGGGCAGCCTCCATCAAAAAAAAAAAAGATAATTGGATCGGGCTCCTTACCACTCCCCCCCCCCCCCCCCCCCCCCAACTGGGACTTCCAGCACTCCATTCACTGTCCCTGCTACCTTCCTGCCACCTGAGACCATCTGGGAATGGACTGGCTTGCCCCTGGGGCAGTGCAGGAAGTGGCATGAGGGCAGCTGGGTGTGCTGGTGGCTGGAGAAAGCAGCAGAGATGGTGCATAGAGCACTGGAATCCCATCAAGCCCAAGGGAAGCCCACAAGTACCCCCCTCCCTGGGTCTTCTACCACCCATTGCACCATCTCTGCCACCTCTGCTGGCTGCCAGCACATCCAACTGCCCTCCTGCCACCTTCTTGTGCTGCTGGGTATGCTGACAGCCAAAGAAGATGGTGGGGATGGTGCACAGGGTGCTGGAGACCCAGGTGGGCTTGGGGATGGGTGTATCACTGCAATGTGTTAGGTAGCAAACTAAAATATTTTGGGGTGTGTTTTAGTTTGCTATGTAACAAAGACATTTATATCGCAATATGCTGCTGCACGTCTAACGTGTGACGCAATTAAACTGCTATAAAAGGACAATTAAACTGCTAAAAAGGGCAATTTTGTCATGTGTACAAGTGCCCAGAGAAGCTGATTCAAAGTGAACTAGAACTAGTAACTGTAGCAACAGATAGTGGTGGACAATGGACAAGTTGCTCAAACAAAGCCTGTTGAATGTTAAAATATTGCCTACACCCGTCACCAATTACAGCAACTATGTTTTGGTCACCTGAGATTGACATCAATTGAATGAGGTATACCTCATGCAAAGTCCAACCCATAAGCCAGATTGGGCCAGTTGTGGACTCCATTTCCCAGCAGACTCTGAGGAAGCAGCTCCTTTTGGCTGCCACTACGGAATCCAGACCCACTGCTCAGGCACCTCAGCCTGTCCTCCCCAGACGCATCACAGGGGTCAGGACCCATTCAAGCAGGGTGGCTGGGATTGGGCCATGGAAAGGAGTAAGACAGGCAGGCGGAATTGGGGAGACACCAGGATTTATGGTGCTGACAGAGCAGGGCCAGAGCCAGGGGACAGCCATGGTTTGCTGCCCACACACCTTTGCAATGAGCGTGGATTCCATTGGCAGGAGCATGCAGCAAGTGCAGTGCGGCTCTTCCCTGGCTCTGGCCCCACACTGTCATCACCGCAAAATCCTGGTCCCAGCCCTGGAGCAGCTCCCCACCCAGCTGCATGCTCTGCCCACATCACTATCCATTGATCTTCATGGAGACCCTGTAAGCGCGGGACCGTAACAGTGCAGGACGGTGACAGCATGGGGCCAGGGCTGGAGAACAGCTGCTGAGAAATGGACTCCACCATTTTGTCCACCTCTGAGCTATACTGTAGGTGCTCACCACCTGGCATAAAGCCACTGACTTAGAGCATTTTCATGAATCAATACTCAAAACTTGGGGCCCTATTCACGGTCATTTGATTTTCATGTGCAAGAGCCAATACTTTAGTGTTTATACAAGTTTCAAGTACAGATAATAAGAACTTGCTCTCACATGTCATGGCATACTTTTTGTGTTCTGAAATGGTCTCATTTATTTTAACATCACAAACAAATCCTTTCAGCTGCTGATTATACACACTCCATGACTCTGCTCCACCTAATGCTGCCAAGCCAGCTTTGGTATTTAGTCAATAATTACTTTACATCCACTAGATGACACTACAACAGGCAGTGAACGCTTCCACACTACAATAGGGGGAAAAAAGTTCATTAGGTTCCAAATACCAAGTAAGTATTCAGAATTTTCCAGTTATTTAGTGTTTGAAGTAGCTGTTGTTTCAAACCACTTTTATGCTCTAAATATATGTGTATAGTCTATGTATGACAGTATCCTTTCTTTACTTAGTTGAAATTATTATAATACCGATTTTCTTCTTTTGTCAATGCATCCTCATTTACCCTCATAACAGGATATCAGAAAGTAAGCTCTAGCCTCCTGCTTAAACCATAGTAAGATATATTGCTTCACCAGGTCTAACAAAAAATCAAAGTCAATACCATCCTCTGTGACAAAAAAAATGAAAGAAACTTTAAAGTTATGTTCTTTTTTTTAATAGTACTCTTACTTACCACCAGGATTCATCGGACCAATTTGTGAATCTAATTTCAGTACTTTTTTAAATATAACATTATGCCAAAGGTAAGAGGACTTCAGTTTAAAGTAAGAACATGTCTTATCAGTGATACCGTATTTCTTATTCCAGATAGAGGCCACTAGTTCATTCAATCTACCTATTAGCTGATCATTTAGAGAAAGACATTACATCAATGTTCCTAAACAATTATTCACTGGCCAGTTTGAATCCTAATGATTAAGATTTGATTATCATTATACTAATTCAGATAACGACATGTATTGTTAGTAGCCATGAAGTTATACTAACTCTTTTTTAAAATGTAACCACAGTGTTATCTTGACTTCTTGAACCATTGAATTCTCAATAGGTCCACTGCACACTGGGCAGCTAGTTCTCATTTGTCTTAAATAGTGTCCCAAAAATACAGAGGAATGGCCAGAGAGCAATGGAATACATAACAGTTGACACTTTGTAACAGTACGTGCACAGTTTTCACAGGTAAGATGCAAGGGAAATTGGTTTGCAAGAAGGATCCATCCACACCACCTCACATTCATAGGCACTGTCATATTTAACTCAAATGTGATCCTTATACAAATGTTATGTTGCCATAAAGATTATATTAGTTTTGGTCATAGTCTTATTGATAATGCACCATAAACACTCACTAAAATAAGTTAATTGTGGTTAGCTACCAGGGAAGGCTCACTACATTCAGTTAGCTATGATTTGAACAAAAGTCATAATTTGAGTTCTTTTATGGAGTGAACTGCATGACAGACAAAATACACACTGCTGTACATCTGAAAATCTCTTACCTTTCAATATGAGGAGCTATGCTTTCAGGAGACAAGTGATAGACAAGATACGAGCACCTGTAACAGAATGAAACACAATTTTCACTAAAGTTGAAAACAAGGAAGTTGGTTGATTTTTAAATTAAAATCAAAGTTGATTTCATGTGCTCTTAAATATTTGCATAAAAGAAATCTGGCAATATTCTAGGCAAAACAAATTTGTTCTAACCCAATTTACAGGGTAATTGAAACTGAAATCTAGTTATAACGTTAATGGAAGAGCTTTGGCTGAGATTCCATAATATTTGTAGGGGGAGCTTCAAAACCACTCTGAGTTGTCCTTGTCCAGCATCTTCTCTCATACTTAAATTATGTCTTTGGAGTAGATAATATGCAAACAATAGTGAAAAGATGGTATCTCTCACAAGCAGGCCGTGGTCACTAGAAGATATCACAACACAAACTAAAAAATTAAATAGATTAAGACCCAACCATAAAACTATCATTAACTTTAAATGGAGCGAACTTGTACCAATAAAGAATGTGTTTGAAATGTCTCCTCACCGGTCTGGCTTGAAGTTCTATGTATTTGCCTTTACAAATCTCAAATAAAAAAATTACCTTGAAATTTGTCCCTAATTTTTCATCCAATATAACATTATTTAAGTTCACAGGGCTACAATGTGTGTCTGGCTATAAACCAGAGCAGGACAGAATACTATGAAATTAGTTGTTTGTGCTGATCTGTTTCCATCTGCTTTGATTTGTTCCTGCAGTAAGCCAGAGCATCCTGAGATGCTAATTAATATGTTGTGTATAGTTTTCAGATCATTATGCAAGAAAGGTCATTCCTCTCTAGTTCAAATATGTGTAGTATGTCAACATTTGATTCTAGGGCTCTGAATTAACGTGCAAAACTTCCACTATTTCAGGCCATTAATGATTTTTGTGTTATATAACCTCTCCAGGAGTAGTAAACAATTTACATTCCTGCAGTTTAAATTAATAAATAGCTCTGGGTTTCTTGTATCTGGCAAGTAAATGCGTGAAGACCTTCTGTATCCATTGGGACATTTTGACTGATCTGTGTATTAAACCCATTCTAGTGAGGTGAATGGTTTCATGAGGCTTTTATGACAACAACATGGGTTGGTAGAATACAGATAAGTATTCTCCAGAGATTCTTGTTCTTCTCGTTGATTAAAGAAGCAGGAAGGTACAGGGAAATGCTGATGCATAATCCAAGCGTTTAAATGCCAACATTATGAAATCAGCAGATGCCCTGTAGCCAGCCTATTCTGTCACAAACTGTAATCTTGTCAGAACTTGCAAAGCAAGACAGAATATGTTCAGTATTTGGAGAAAATGGGCTTCTCGAAAGAAAGTCCAGAGCTACAGGAAGTCATACTTGTGACTGGATAGGCAAGCCTGCTCATCAAGTCATGGCCCTACCACTGTATTAGAGGGCCAGTAGCTCTTTCGGTGCTGGACCAGTTTATTTAAAACTATCTCCCAATGCCTGTACATGCTTTAAATACAGATGAACACCCCATTGCCATAAAACAGCTACCATCAAATGAATCCCAGTCCATATATATTAGCTGTAAGTATGATAATGAGATGGAGTAGCTAGTTACCTTAGAGTGCTGCTGTGCATACATCCAGTGCCACTCTTGGGCTTTCTCGAGTGCGTTTATTGGCACATGTGCAGGGATGCTCTTGGTTAACTACATTACCTCATTTTTGGGATGTCATGACAGTGGAGCAAGAGCATGACTCATGGTAGTGCTCCCAAGCATGGCATGGAGGTGGTTTGGAGATGCCTTAAAGGGCCTATTGATTATAATGGGAGATTAAGCACCTAGGGGAAGATCCAAAAAGCTGTACAGAAGCTTAATATGAACTATTTTTACTAATGCAGACACCACTTGAAGTTTAATTTGGACAGATATTTTACATTTCTCTGAAGTCTATTCACAAACTCCAAGCCTCGCCCCCAGACTACTTAATAAACATACACAAAACACAATCTTTGGAACAGAAACCAGGGCCTGTGACTCTGTTCTCTGAGGAGTACTTTTATTACTGGGCTAGAGAGCCACGTTCCCCCCTCTCTGACACAATGTGCTCATGGGTGACTGGTGCCTCTAGAGTCTGGGGGGGCACCAGATTGCTGATGGTGGGGAGTCCCCCAGTGGTGGAGCTGGAAGTACACTTCCACCAGCATGTCCGGTTTCACAGCTGGTGCTTCCAGCCCAAGAGCAGTGGTGACAGCAGCATCAGCAAGGCAGATTTCCCCTCCCTTCCTGCTTCCTGACTCCCTGCAGCCTGCACTGACCCCATGCACTTGGATTCAGACCCCACCCAGAAGCTCCCTGTCCCCCTGAACCCTGCCACCCTGTCTCTCCTTCAGTTGTGAGGCCTGGTGTGGCCTTGATGTGAGTTGTGAGGCCTGGTGTGGCACATAGGAGCAGCATGGCTTGCTGAAACCCCAAGAGCAGTCAAGGAGGGAGAAGCCCCCATTGGAACGTCCACCACTCTTGGACTAATTGAGGAGGCAGGGCAGTGAATCAGGGTTAAAGGGGCCAATGCAGGGCAGAGGGGTTATTGAAGGGGCAGGGGAGCAATCTGGGGGAAGTGACTCAGGGATTGCGGGGTGGTTTAGGGGCAGCATCTTGGCAGCTCCCCACCCACCTGCTCCCCTGCTCCTTCTTTCCTCTTGCTCCCTCCAATCCTGTCCCCTGCATCCTGACTTCCCTACTCCCCCTTCACCTATCCTCCCCCTTCTTCTACCCTCCCCATCCTCACCTACCTGTTGCCTAGCAGTTCCCAGCTGTCAGTCTAGGGCTGTAGATCCTAGGTAATAGGTAGTCCACCTGGGAGCAGTGTTTGGTGAATACCCAGAAGTTAACTTAAGTGAGCTAGGTAGCACAGCCCAAAGATAACCCTTACCTGAAGTGGCTCAATTTTAAAATAGCTACAAGGCACTTAGAACATGTTAATGAGTTGTAATGTGTGATCTTAAGTGCTCTTCACAAGGTCTAATTGTAATATGTAATCTCACCCATAGAGTATCCAGGAGGGTCTCTTACATCCTGAGAGAGTGCTCTGATCCATATCGGCATTTTTATATGTGATCCCAAAGCAGTGCCAGGTGCTTTTAATTACTGAGCCATGCTAATTAAAAGCATCTGCACATCACGTGTATCAGCAGAGCAGCACACCTCCGTGCTGAGAAAATGGTAGTAGTGCACTTTGAACTAAAGCACACCAAACATGTTTTAGTTCAAAATGCACCCCTGCCATTTTCTCAGCATGTAGGTGCGCTGTGCCTCTGATACACGTGATACATGAGGCTGCCAGAGCACATCAATTTATGTGGTGCAGCAGACTAGATTAATTGACACTGTTCCAATGCACTTGATTTCTAACACATTGGAGCAGGCTCCATGCATGTATGTAAGTGTCCTATTGTATGACAGTGCTCACTTCTATCTCCAGTCCTATAACTGCATTAAAAAAGTTAAAAAACCAAAGAAACTCAAAACGCCTTCCAATTTTAAAATAAACAACTAGGTGCTTAGCACCAACAAAGGGTTTAGAGTTCTGAATTCTGCTTTAACATAGGTATCCCTCTGTAGCTTGGTGCTCCCAAGATGCTACAGGCGCCAGACACATGACTCTTCTTTTTTATGTTGGCTGGCTTGTATAGCTCTCCATGACTTGTATAGGGAAGGACCTTAGGTGCCTAAAATAGGGTTGTAGATTCTATTCCAGGAGTTAGGCTCCTAAAAATTAAGAGTTGTGATGCTACTTGTTACAAGACCTATTTCCATTTGTGAATCTACTCAAAGTTTGTATCACAAAGCTCAAAAGGTAGTTGACACTGCAGCTTGGAGCAAAGGATATACAGGTGGTATTGATCTATACAGAGCTGTTCTGTGGCTGCCTCCGAAGGCAAGTTAGCCCATTGTAGCTATCACCAGCACAGATTTAAAACAGGTTTCCAGGCCTGTCAAGGGCTACAATGAGTCAAGGAGCTTCAAGTTTTTCCTTTACAAGTCATCTTAACTCAGCAGAAAGTGGCAGTTATGCATATTTGGTTTCAGATCCAAAAAAAAAAAACAAACCTTCAGAAATGCACATTCATAGGTAAAGAAAAAGCAGGGGAAAAAATTACAGAAGGATAGAAATCAGTGGTAGACAAGTAATCATATTCAGGAGAAACTCCCTCTGTATTGGCCTGTCAATTGCTAGCAGGCCTATGTTAATCACTTTGAACATTTTCAGATTCTACTGCAATACCACAAATAACACAACCCCCAACCTCTATCATCAACTTTGAGCTAAAACACAGCCTAAAAGAGGAAATGTACATTACAGAATCACAAATGAATATTTGTTATTCAGCCTGACACTGATTTGGCAAAAATGCAATTAAAGCTAAAAGCTGTTAGTGCAGGCTTGTTTATGCTTACCAATTAAAATTATTTTTGACAATGCTACAGGACTATAATCAGTCTAATGGCTTTTATGGAATTTCAATCTTTTACAGATTGGTTTAAAATATTAATTATAAGTCTTAGTTTAAAATAAAATGCTAGATGTCTATTAGATAGTCAGGTAGAACACTCAAGAAGCCTCATTCAGGCTTGTGATTGTATCTGTTACACACACACACACACTGGATTTGTAGCACAGCACACAGAACTTAGACAATTAATTTTTGAGTAACAAGAAGTGCTGCACAGCTCCCATTAAGAATATTCTACTCAAATAATAATTTTTCTGATAATCCAAAATATTTTGCAACAACTTCCATTTCTTTATTATCTTCTGGGTATTATTTGGCAGGTGACAACCTTCTTTCTAACCCAGTGTTTTGTCTCTAGGAACAGGGTCCTTCTCTTCTGAATTTAAGGGGAGAACTGGGAACAGTCGCTCTTTCACTAGGCTTTAGGAGCATCATCTGCCTTCTAAATTTTAAATTTCCAAAGTTTGCTGGAGTCCTGAAATGAATGGAAAGTTATACCTGTAAGTGGCTGGAAGCCTGAAATGCCTCTGTCATCTTCTAAAATTAG